CAGGCACCGCGCCAAGCCGTCGCCGCCGCTTTGTTGTGTGCCCCCTCCCCCTGTGTAGGAATAGGAGGGGAGAAGACGGCAGCCTGACGCGGCTTCTGTTGCTGGTGTTGTTCTTGACTTTGGGTGGGGCTGCGTCCTTGCCGCCCTCGCGGCGCCCGCTTCCCCGCGTGCCCTCCGCCTGCTGCTCTTTTTGCTCTCCCAGCCTTTGCTGACCCTTCCCCTGCCCCCCTCTCCGCGTGGCGCCTTGGTGTCAGGTAGAAGTCCGCGTGCGTGTGCGTGTGTGCTGCTGCGGTTTGTAGCTCTCGAAGTCTATGTCGGATGTATTCTACCTCAACGTTCCACGGATACGTGTGCCGCGTGGGGCCTCCGGCGAGCTGCCTAAGTCCGCTGCGTTGGGGCTTCAGGACACTCTACCGCAGGTGGCGCGGCCTGCGGCTCAGGACTGCGGCTGGGGGTTTTTGCCGTGGGCGCTGGGGGCCGTGTCGGTGGGCTGCGTCCTCTCGGTTGCGGTGCGCTTCTGGCAGTATCGACGCCGGTGCTTGTCCCCACTGACGCCCGGCGCAGGGCGCGTGTGGCGGCAACCGCGAGAGCCGCGTCTGTGGCGTCGTCGAGTTCCCGTGCAAAGCGCAGGCGGGGACGGCGCTTTGGCCGCGCCCAAGGAGGCTAAGGCGGCAGGCACGGAGCAGGCTTCCCTGCCGCCTGCCGGCCACGTGCCAGTGGCCGCCAGCAGGGCAGCGAGGGCAGCGAGGGCAGCGAGGGCGGCGGTGGCGACGACGAGGATGAACACGGCAACAGGAATGGCGTGGAGCCCACGCGGTCGCCGCACCGTGCGACTGTGGCGGATGCGGACTCGGATGCACTGTCCTCCCCCTCGCAGGACTCCTCGCAGGTGTTCGTCACGAGCACGGGTGAGCACTACAGGCGGGTCGCGTATCTTGGACGCGGCGGGTGCGGCAGCGTCTACAAGTGTTTCAACCTCACCACCGGCGAGGTCGTGGCTGTGAAGGAGGTGCGACTGGCGGCAAGTAGCGACGGCGGCAGCGCCGAAGAGCTGCGCAGCGAGTTTGAGCTGCTCTCCAGCGTCACCCACCCAAACATTATTCGCGTCATCGGCTACCACGTGGGGCGGCGGCACGCCCGCTTGTTTTTGGAGTGGGCTGCGGGAGGCTCCCTGTCGGACGTTGTGAGGGGTGTTGGCAGCTCCTTCGCCTCGGGCGTGCCAGAGGACCTTGTCCGCTCCTACGTGCGGCAGGTGTTGCGGGCGCTGCAGTGCCTGCACAGGCGCGGCATCATTCACCGCGACCTCAAGCCGCATAACCTCCTCATCGACCACGTCGGCAGGCTGCGCGTGACGGATTTCGGCCTCAGCCGCCTGGTCGGCGAGGGGGTGTCTGCCGTCGAGACGACGGTGGCCGGCACCCCGCGGTACATGGCGCCGGAGAGCATCCGCGACGGGCGTTTCTCCTGCGGCAGCGACCTCTGGGCGTTGGGCGCCGTCGCGTCGGAGCTCTTCACCGGGAGGCCGCCGTGGTCGCACCTGGAGGCCCACCAGCTGCCGGCGCTGCTCTACCGCATCGCCAACCACCCCGAGGAGCACCCCGTCATCCCCGCCCACGCCAGTGCGGCAGCGCAGGACTTCATGGCCCGCTGCTTCCGGCCAGAGCCGGGGGACCGCGGCACGGCGGCCAGCCTCCTGCGGCACCCCTTCCTGACACTTGAGCGGCGGGGGCGGCAAACGGCCGGCGAGTAACACGGCACCGGCAGCAGGAGGGGGGAGTGAGATAAAAAAACGAAGGAAAAAGAAAGAAGATGAAGGAGGGAAAACACAAAACGAAACAAACTGGGGAGACGGTGCTGTTGGTGTTACTGGTGCACCCCGTGCAGCAAATTTGCTCCACGGCACGGATTTTGCTGATTGCCGTTCCTCCTCCTCGTCGTCAGCTGTGCGAGTTTACTTTTGGTTTGTTGCATCGAAGCTTCCCTCCAAAGGCGGGTGGGGGGAGGCACTGTGCTCCCAGCAGGCGCTGGGGCGCGGTTGTGTGTCTGTGCGTGCGTGTAAAATCAATAAATGTCTGTCGCCGTCTTCTACGCTCCTTTTTCCCTGACATTTTTGTTTTGTTGTTGCTTTTAGAAGGGGGAGGGGGGGAGGGAGGGGCTTTTGGCCTTCACATTCCTTCGCCTTTTCGCCTGCGCGGGCCTGCGGTGTGGCACGCGGCGTTTAGGGTCTGCGCCTGAGCGGGAGAACCGGCGTGGACGGCGGCAGACGGGGCCTAATCGTTGACAGCAGAAGAAACGAAAGGAAAACGAAAAAGAAAAAAACTAAAGGAAAAAACAACAAAACCACCTTCACATGCCTTCCTCCGGCGCCGAGCTCAACGCGGCCGCCGCAAAGGCCTTCACGTTTTGGTTCGACCGCGAGTTCCGCTTCAACCTCGCGGAGGAGGAGCTCGCGGTGCAGACGGCGCGCGGGGAGACCCTCCTCGCCACGCTGCGCCCGGTGGAGGACACGAAGGGCAACGCCGGGGAGGAGGGGGTGCTCACCGTGACGAACCTGCGCTGCATATGGCGCAGCACGGCGAACCCGCGCAAGAGCCTCAGCATCGGCTACTACGGCATCCAGGGCGTGGAGACGAAGGAGGCGAACTCGCGGCTGCGCGGCGCCACGGAGGCGCTCTACATCAACTCGCGGTTTAGCTCCAGCCGGTACGAGTTTGTCTTCACCCTCCTGTCTCGGGCGCAGCAGCGGCTCTTCATTGTCCCCGCCGTCTGGCGGGCGTACGAGTCGAGCCGGGCGTACCGTGAGCTGCGCATGCGCAGCTCGATGGTGCGGGGTGGGGACATCGTCCTCCTGCCCGGCGAGCAGCTCTTCACGCGACTCGAGGGCGTGACGAACGTGAGCGAAGACAAGGGCGTCGTCGGGGTCTTGTTTACGACGAATGTGCGCCTCGTCTGGTACGCGCAGTACTCGCAGAACGTCAACATCTCGATCCCGTTGCTGCAACTGACGGGGCTGCGCATACGGCCGACGAAGTACGGCCCTGCGCTGCTGATAGAGACGTCGTCGTACTCCGGCAGCTGCCTCCTCGGCTTTCGCGTGGACCCCGTGGACCGGCTGCGGGAGCTGTTCCGGGAGTGCGTCTCGCTGTGGAAGGCCTGGAGCATGCGCCCGGTGCTTGGCGTCGCCGTCACGCTGCAGGCGGCGACGCCCGACGCGGCGGAGGACGGCGACCCGAGCAATGGCCCCGGCGGGGGCGGAGGGCCTGCGGCGCCTCCGGCCCCGCAGCCGCGCAAGCTGGACGGCGAGGACGTCGTGCAGCAGGTGGAGACCGACGCCTTCGCGGCGTACTACGCAGACTTGGGGCAGAAGGGCGCGGATCGCCGGCCGGAGTTCGATGCCTCGATTGGCCTCGCCGTGGAGCGGCTCCGCGCGGGGGTGACGATGCGGGACTTGTGGACGGTGCCAGCGTAGCCGGCGGCCGCCCTGCGTGCAACGCACCCGCGCAAGAGAGAGAGGGAGGGGGGGGGGGGGGGGGCAAAGCGAGAGAGAGAAGGAGAGAGAACAGCCGCACAGGCGGGGTGGCGGCCTCGTTTCGGCCCCGGCTCTGACTGCGTGTTTCCCCAGCACTGCCGGCGCCAAAAAGAAAACAACAACAACAACGCGAAACCAAAACGAAACAAAACACGAAGTGACGCTCTCTCCCTCTTTTGCTGCTTTATTCATCCCCTCCCTCTCTCTCCTTTTCGGTGGTGCCGGAAATTTTTTCCTTTTTTTTTGTTTCCGGCCTTCTTCTTTGCCCCGTTTTGTATTATTTTTGCCTCTTTGGTAGCGCTTGTGCGTCTCTTTTTTTTTTGTCTTCCTGCGTGTGTGCGTGTGGGGCGCCGTTGTTGTTATTATTATTTTTTTTTCGTTTTTGGGAGGGCCCAAAGGGGCGCGGGGGTTGAAAAAAAAAAAAGCACAAGAAAAAAAAAGTATGCAGATTTACGTGCGGCATCGCGGCAAGTTTGTGATGCTTGCGCTCTGGAGCGGCTTCGCGTGCATCGCGACGTTTTGGCTCACGATCCGTCGCTCCGGCTTTGGCACGACGTACAGCCGCTGCGGCTACCTGGTCATGTGGGGCGAGTACAAGCAGCTGCTCGAGCCCGGCGCCTTCCCCGCCAACGACTTCCTCCCGCCGCACCTCCGCCTCGACCAGCGGTCGTACCTCGACCTCCCCGAGACGGAGGTGGCGGTGCCGCCCATCATCGACGTCAGCGTGGCCGAGCGGGAGCAGGTGCGCAACTTGGAGCACGCCATTCCCGCCGCCCAGCGGTCGGACCTGCACATTCAGTTTGGCCCGCTGCGGTCGCAGACGATTGTGATGACGGGCGGGGCAAACGAGCGGTACGTGCGGCGGCGGCTTGGGATCTCGCCGCAGGATCGGGACCGGCTGCAGGCCGAGGGGGACAACGCGTAGGCGGCGACGCCGACGCGGACACATGCGAAGCAGAAGGAGAAGGAGGCGGCGGTGTGCGTGTGTGTTGTGTGTTTTGCTTGTTGGGTGTCTGTTGCAGTTGCTGCCAGGGGGGTGGCAGCGTGAGTGTGTGATTGTGTGTGTGTGTGTGTGCGTTTGCCGTTTGCGCATGCACCGTGCGAGAGGCACCGCCGAGGGAGATGCGCCTCCCCCCACTCGCTCTCTGTGCACGTCTATTCATTTATTTATTTATTTTTTTCCTTCTTTTTCCTTTTTCTTTTTCCTCTCTTTCTCTCCCTCTCGTGTGGCTGCGTTGCGTTGCACGCAGTGTGG